TAGCCAATTTCCTTTAATAAACGAGCTAAGGCAACCGCTTCCTTAGCCCCTATAGTAAGTCGGACACACTTAGCTTCTATTAACGATAGTATAACAAGCGTCTAGCGGCCGGACTTACACAACAGAGGTCCGCCTGCAATAGTAAAGTAGAAGCCGCCTATAGAGCGGCGGGTAACTAGATCGTTAGCCTACAAGGCGTTATAGTAACTAGCAAAGTTTAGCTTATCGTTCTATGTGCCCTAGAAGCGTATGCTACGGCTTAGAGTACTAACTAGGTACTTAATTAGCTAAAGAAGCGCGGTACAGTATTCCTCGGTCGGGTTAGAGATGAATCGTAACAATAGGCCTATAGTATAGTAAGCATTAGGTCGTGTAATTACAGCTAGCTACAGCGCCTTACTAATACCTTCTTAATACCAAGTCTTAAAGGCAGCGCTAGCAGTGTAGCCCTTAGGTGCACGCCAAATCGACGTCTTAACGTATCGAGGTACTATTAGTATAGCAGGAGCTACTCGGCCCTATATGCTATGCTTCTTACTAGGCCTGTTTAAATAGGCATCTTAAACGACGTAAATAGTACGCTAATCGCGGTTACGAATAATCCGCATACCTAGATAGTAGTATAGGTCGCCTAGCTCTTGCATACTGAAACGGTCCTTTAGTAACTAAGCTACTGCCTCTAGTGCTAATAGAGTATAGGCGATAATAATTATGTCGTCGATATAGATAACAATAATAGAGCCGCTAACAACGTGTTTAAACACACACATATTAGCTATTATTAGCACAAAGTCTAGGCTCTTTAGGTACTTTCGAAGCTCTTCGTACTACAGCATTAGCGACTGTTTTAGACTATATAGTGCCTTTAGCAATAGGCAAACTATGCCCTTTCTACTACGGTCCTTAAAACCGTGTAGCTGTTCGACGTAGATCTTATACTTATTACCGATAAGCGCATTAAGGAAGGCCGTTAGAATATCGTACTACTTAGCCTCTAGGTCGTAATAAGCGATTAGCGCAAACAGCGCTCGCAGCGTAGACGGCTTAGCTATAGCCGTATAGGTCTTATTATAGTCCTGTCCTTTAACCTATATAAAACTACGGACGACCTATCGAGCCTTAAACCGGCTTACCTTACTATTAGCGTTACGCTTAATAGTGAATACCTATCGGCTACGGACAACCTTGCGACCTTCTAGCACCTCTAACCGAGATATATAGACCTATATATAGTTGTCGATTAGTAACTTATATTTAGCCTTATAGGCCTCCTTCTATTGTAGCTAGTATAGCGACTAAGTCGCCTCCTTGTAGCTCTTCGGAATAGGAATAGTGTCCTTAGGCTTATTAGGCTATTTAGCAATGTAGCAGGAAGCTATAAAGCCCTTTATATAGGCTATTAGCATATTAGCTATTATACGTCGAGTCGACCGCTTAACACTATAATTAGCTAGATAGCTATATAACAGTTTACGAGCTAACTTGTTACTGCGGGTTGCACAGGTAGAACGAGCGCCTATCGTATTAGGTCGCTTAAACTCTAGCAACTAGCTAGGCTTACCCTTCTTCGTATTTAGATTAAAGGGCGGAGCTTAATCTTCCTTAGCTAATTAGAAGCTATCTTTATTACTTAAAGCTAGTAGTTGAACGTCTAGAAGGTCGTTATCGATTAGCAACGGATTAGCGACCTTATTAGCTATTTCCTATACAAGTCCTTATATAGGCTGTTCTTCTTGCTAAGCTAGAAGCCGCTAGACTATACTAGTAGCCTCGGCAGGCGACGGAGCCTCGTTGCTTATAGAATTAAACAAAGCCGGCATAATAGACTTAAGGGTGACAAACTCGTTCTTAGATAAGTCGTTAGTGTTAGTATATAGCTTTATACTATCCGGAAGCAGGAGGTTAAGGTCACCCCCTAACTTAATAAAATAGACGTCCTTAGAAGCGATAACCTTGTACTAATTAGGCAGGTAAATTATATATTTTCCGGAGTCTACAGAACCCTTAGCGTAGCTAACTAGCTTACTAACTAGGCCTCTACTATCTATCTTCTTTCTACGAGCAACACTGTAATCGTAGGCAATTGACGTATAGCTATACGCTCGAAGGTGCTAAAGACGCGGCTGTGTTTGTAACTAATTAAGCTCCTTAGCGACAATAGTATATAGGCTTCCTCCGTTAGCGGTTAGCGTAATATTAAGGACCTGTATAGCGGAGGCAACAGCATATAGCTATAGGAACTTAGGAAGGTTAGCCTATAGTATTATCTTTCTCGCAGTCGTATATACGATGTAATTGCTAACCTTAGCAAGGCCATTCTAAGTTAAAGCATAAGGTGTAGTAACTTATAGTATAATGCCCTCGTCTCGAGCCTAATTTAATAGCTAATTTCCGCCGTATTTTCCGCCTCTTTCGAGGCGGTAGATTGGGATTAAGTAACTAGTCTGTATACGGATATGTATACGATAGTCCTTAATAGCTACTATAGCCCCTAACTTGAGCGTACTAGCATGTTGGTATCGATAGCCTAACTTAGCGCATATAAACAGTGTGAAATAGCGCTCCTGCAATAGACTAGGGTTAGTAATAGTAACTATATCTATACAGATAATGTAATAGATCGTAGATAGTCGTACGCGTAGCAGCCGATTGTATTCCTTGTGTAACATAGCTATACGATAGGCAATGCAGTTGCGGAAGTCCTTCTTAGCACTAGTAATAACAATTTAACCCTTAGATTCTATTCTTAGTAGCTTGCGGTAATAAATATGGCTATATCGCAGATGCCATTTATCTATAGTGCCTATAGGCACCCCCTTCTTTAACAAAAGGGCAACTACCTTACTATCTAGACTAGAGGTTGGTATATAGAGGTAGGGGAGACTATTCTTACGGTATGTCTAAGCGACAGTAACCTCATTGCCCTCTACTATCGTAAACAGCACACGCTTATTATTACGGTAGAAATAGCCCTTATCGGCAAGCTTCTTAGTAGATAGGAGGTTAGCTGCTAGACCTAGAATATATAGTATATTAGACAGCTTTATGCCGCTTATACTACGCTTATTAACAACCTTAGTCTAAGCTATACTAACTATCGTAGCGTGCTTCGTGTTGCTACTAAACCGGATAGGAATGTAACAGCCTTCGTATTTAATAAGCAATAAAGGATCGTTAACTATATGTATACTAGTACCTAAGTCGACAACCTAATTAGTAGTACGAGTGCTAGCAGTAAGAGCCGTAGAAACTAGGTCGCTTACAGTAACCGTAGCTATAAAGGCGTAATTGTAGCTTAGGTCTAATAACACCCCTAGAGTAGCATTAGCCGTATATAGCCCCTAAGCACTATTTTGACTACCCTAACTAGACGGCTGCTATTGCTACTAAGCAGTTAACGCCTGTTATTGCTTCTTCTTAGCCTTCTACTTCTTACGACGAAGACGGTCTTCCTCCTTTAGATAAGAATACTTAGTATAGCAGCGGTCGGAAGGGTGTAACCCCTAATAATAGGCGCACTTCTTACGGTTAGACTAATAACTATTCTGATTCTAGTTGCTTCTACCGCGGCCTCGACTATTGTTATTGTTTCCGCGGCTACTACGACCGCTACGGTTCGAGTTACCTCGACCGTTGCTATTGCTACCTTATAGTTGTTAGCGCTAGAGACTAAAGAAGCTATTATATTAGGCCTAGTTTAATTAAGCTATATTCTTATTAAGTAACGCGCTAATAATGTTGTTAAGCGTATTATCGTTAATAGTGTATTCGGAGGCGCGTATCTGCTCTCGGCGCATCTATACGAAAGCCTCGTAGAATAGAGAGATCTATATAATAAACATATAGATAGCCTAGTATTAGCTAATAGCTAATTTCGCCGTAATAAAAGTCTAGCTTTCCGATCTTAAGAGAATCGTTTCCGGCATAGGTTCCGAGTACATTGCTAGTACTAGAGGTAGTACGTCGAGTACTGTCTATTTCGCTAGGGGCGGGAGTTCCCCTTCCGACTTGTAATAAGGCACTTATCCTAAGCGAGACTAAGTGTTACGGTTACTCGCGACAGATCGTTAAGTAACTTCTTATTACGTGCAAGCCGAGGCTTCTTTAGAGAGGCTAATATAAGCGGGAGGTAGAGATAGAATAATTAGTATAAAGGTAATTCTAATTAGTAAGTAGGTAATATAAGTTAAACGCCTCGAGCTATAAGGGCATTCCGGCGTTCCTAAATATAAAGGAGATATCTTGTCTGTAGTCGTAAGCGACGTAAGCGACGCTATCGCTCTCGACCGCTTCTATCGCTCCTAGTAAGATAGAGCGATAGCTTAGCCTACTAGTCTTAGCGTCGCTCTAAGATTATATAAGGACTCTAACTAATTAGATCCGTAACACTATCCCCCTCCTTAAGCGGAATAGTCCCTTATTCCGGGACTTTCTAATTCCAACTTCTTTATTATACTAAAGTTATCTAAAGATTTGTCTTCTCGCTAGCGTATTAGAAGACAACTTAATATTAGGCTTTAGGCGGGTCCCCTAGATATAGCGCTATACCTATATGCCTTTAAGGGCACTCTTAGCGGTATAAGACTATAATAGATAATTCTCCTTATTCTTTAGCTTAGGGATGTTGCTTATATAAGCGTTAGAGGTTGTAGAGGGAGCTATTACGGACAGCGACGGCGATAATGTTAATATAGAAAGAGACTATAGACTTGTCTTAAGAGGCGGCCGATAGGCGCGCCTATATTCTAGTATAGCGGATAGCTAATACTAATATAGCGGATAGCTAATACTAATAACTCGAGTCGGACTAGTACCTACTAGAACCCTCGAGGGCGGCGGCGACGATAATAGTATCGGCGTAATTTTTAGTAACGAGCGCTAGCTACGTAGCTATCGGAGTAACTATTAGAATATATAGTAAACGTATTATATACGTTAGAAACGTAGGGGGCTTATAACCACTTAATGTAACTAATATATTGGAAGAAGGACTAATCTATCTAGAAGTCCGAAGATGAAGTGCAGCAGTTGCAGCCTCAGGCATCAGGCACGTAATAGACCCTGACACCTGGACACACACTCCAAGTGTCAACTCGAAGAACTTCCACGGGAATTCAGCCTTCTCTTCAAGCCAAGTTTCAAGTCCATGCTGCGATGCCTGCCGGCTTGCCAACCACCGCGTTCGAGGCGGCTCGACATGATATCTGATCATCAATCCTGAGCGCCGCAGTAGTCCACACATTAAACCGCCTCGTTCTCTCTTGACCTTTTTGGCCAACGCGACTCAGCGGCTCGTTCCCTACTGCTCGAAGTGTGCTTAGACGCCGCCTCACAAGCCAATGATCGCTACACTTGCCGCAAGACAACGACAAATATCACAAATACCCGCTTGCGCATACCATACCAGCTGAACGGGCATCCGGAGCTGCGTGCTGGGCGCTGGTCCTTCCTGTTCATATGAACAAATTCCAGCAGCTATTTACTTTCGATTTGCAATTCTCACTTATACACCCCTCAGCCATGTGGCCAATCATCAACTGTCCATTACGGCGAGGACAGCCTCCACCAATGACGAGAACTGCTTACCACGCTGATCATAACCGCATCGGACGTTACGTTCAAGACGCTTCAGTATTCTAATGTGTGTACCACGAGCACAACGCGGCATCTGAGTACATGCATTGAGTTTGAGTTCTGGCGATGATAGCATCGTGCTTCCAGAACGAGGCCAAAAAGCAAGTCCGTCCAGTATTTTAATGGTCTGCTGGCCGCTCTCGTAGAAATTTGTGTTGTTATGATTTCTAGACGTATAGATTCCATTTGCTAGAAACAACGGCTGCAAACATGCCTCTTCCGGAGAATCAAGAGCTGAATGCAGTGGCCGACGATCTCGTAGCCACGATCCGCGAAGCATTTGGAACTCCAAAGCACACTCGACCAGTCCACGCCCGCGGTCAGCTCACAAAAGGCACATTCGTCCCATCACCAGGCGCGAAATACCTCTCCAAAGCTCCCATCTTCGAGAAGCCATCTACAGACCTCCTCGCGCGCTTCAGCTGTGACACTGGATTCTCCGATATTGCCGATACCCACAAAGATTCGAATCCCAGAGGTCTTGCCATTAGATTTCTCTTATCTGAAGATGGACACACACACTTCGATCTGATCACCAACACTGCCATTGGATTTGCCGTCGACCGTGGCGAAGGTTTCCTTGCCATGTTTAAGCACGCGCTGGGTAAGATCACTGAGGAGCAGCTGCATAAAGACTGGCCCTTTGTTGCTTGGTATCAGCGAAATAGGAAGCCACTTTGGCCAATGTCGTTCGCTTCGGAGCAGTGGCATGGAATTCATGCTTTCTCGCTTGATGGCCATGATGGAAAGAGGACATTTTTCCGTACGCGCTTGGTAAGTCTGTCGGAGGAAGTGCTTGAGAATTTCGCGTTTCTGACACTCATCCTAGGTGCCACCACAAGGCGTAATGAAAATGGGCGAAGAAGAGACCAAGGAGAAGAAAGGCACATATCTATTCGACAACCTCGAAGAGCGCCTCACCGCGAACCCACCAAAACCAATCGTTTACAACTGGATGGCACAAATCGCCGACCCAGCCGTTGACAACCTCAACGACTCGAGCAGCGAATGGCCGGAAGATAGGGAATTCGTTCATCTCGGAACTTTTACGTTCGACAGACTTTGGACCATGAATGAGGGTGAGGTCCCAGGCCGTGACCAGCAGAGAATCATTTTCGACCCTAAGCCGAGATACATGGAAGGTATTGGTATCAGCGATGACCCGATTATTGAGATGAGGACTTCTGTGTACCTTAAGAGTGGGCTGATCAGGAGAGAGGCGAATGGTGTTGCTGGGAGAGATACTCCTGGCCACTGCGTCGGTCGGTAGGCATTCTAGAAGTTCATGTACAGAGAGTTACGAATAGCAAGCCAGCAAGCTTTTAAAGCTTTTCTAACCAATTGCTTGACTCCAAGCTTGCATTGCTTACTGGAAATGGTGGTCAGCAGCGGCGGGATATGGGTCATCGTGGGAGGAATATTGGTTATGACGGTAAATAATACGGCTGAGTAAACTATTTCTGGTGGGCATTATATCCGAGTTTTGCTTGAGGTGTGATGAGATGCACGCGCCGATTCAATCGAGGTGCTTCTGCTTGATATCGCCAGACCGGATGTGCAAGACAAATTTCAATTGAATTCTGCTGTAGCCTCTCGCCCTTCTCGACCATCTCCGAGCATGTTGAGATCAGGTGAGCTCCCATCTCCTGCTTGCCGACCGTCGCTGAGCACATATTGCGCCGCGCACCAGATGATAGCATCTTGAGGACTAACGTGTAGCGTTTGAGCTGGTTCAGAGCGATTCTCGGCAGGTACTGCCGCCCTCCTATACACCGGCTATAGAATGATGCGTGATCGCTTCCCCAAGCAGCAGTGTGGCGCATACATTGTACCGAGATGGAAGGATCATTCTTGTTATAGCTGATTCAACCATCGATATAGTTGTACAACCAGTCAACGTAATTCCGAAACGCACTCGGATCTGCAGTCGGGAGCTTGACCGTTTTCTCCTGATTTTCCTTCCAGGTATTCGAGCAAGCCGCCTTGAAGAACGCAGAACTGGCGCAGATGACGTCCTCATGGATGAAGAAGACGTCTTCCTTCGGGCCAACGAGAACCTTGAGCGGACTGGACAAAGAGATCTGGGATAGGTTATCATAGCTCAAATCACGATAGGCCTCAGGGTGGCTCACTTGATGCGCTTTGCGGGAGTGGAGGGAGCGTCATCAGCATTGTGCTTGCGCTTCTTCGTAGACTGCTTTGCTGGCGCCATGGTTGGTCTTGTTGTAGGCTGTCCGAATATCGTGGTCAATGTTCAGGTGAATGTGTGCGCAAAGCAGAAGAACAGCTAGCTGTCGTTGCAACTTGAATCTGAAAGTGACGGCCACTTAAAGTTTCTGTGCTGTCACATGCAAAACCCTCACTTCGGCCTCGATTATGCATCACTTCCTCACATTTTGCTCTACAGTCTTTTGGCGTGGTAACGGGCAATCTGCGGCAATGAAGAAGAGGCTGGGTCTCAACAACTCCACGAAGAAGTTATATCGTGAGCAGCAATGTGCGCGCTTTGCCATCTGCGCTCGTACTGTACTGCATAGCGGCATTGTCCATGGCGCCTACTTCCGCGAATGCTGGCCTAACTCTTGTGACGGCCATGGGGGCCTCGCAGACGTCGTCCTTCTCTTGTCGACAGCCGAAGGACACGCGGGGTCCAAAAGCGCTGCTACAGCAGTCAGATGCCGGCGATTGAGCCAGCCCGAATGCCATACTGCGTGTTTTGTTCGATGGTGCGTCGGTGATCGAGGCGCTGCGTAGAACTAGTGGAGGAGTCGATCAAAACAACAAGAGGCGAGGCAAGTGGTGGAACGGCAATCGGCGGACGCTACGGAAGGCTATACACAGATGGTGGACATAAGTCATATCTATCGTGGAGGAGACGCCATGGTCCATCTGCATACACCATGTCTTCCATCTCACACTGTGCTGGGAGTCCTCTTGCGCCAATCGAGGCCCAGTCACGACTCCGCCATGAGTAGCTCTAACTGCCGACATTCACCTCAGCAACCACGACCCGCAACGACTTTGACATCTCGAAGGTGGAGCACCAAAGAGGAGGAACAACAATGAATAAGAGATCACGAAGATGGGAGACCATCTAAGACCATAAGTTCTAGCCCGAGGACTTCATCATCGATCCATATCGCCCTCCCTTCGGTCACCACAGGGCTTCGCACCGCTTCAGCCTCATCTGCTGCGATATTCGCGTCTCGAAACCTAGATCGCGGCTCATACTGTGCCAGAAGAGGCTGGATACTCACCACCTTGATTTAAAAGATGAGTTTGAACTGTGGTTGGTTGGCGCTTCACAGGAATGCCTTGCCGAATGCTTGATACTCCCACCCCTTCTCCGAAGCGTGCGATGTGTAGAGGCAGAAAGAGATCTCGGCATCGATGCTCTACCCATTTACGCTTCACTACACCACGGACTAGACTCCTTTAATGCAGTTGCCTTGTTGACGTGCCAAGAAATCCTGCCACAGAACAGCACACTGCCACCGAACTTTATGCAAGGCTTCTAGGCTGCGATACTGGAGGTCGTGCCTGAGGGCGCTTTAGGCTTTGCTCAGGTATGGATCAAGTATACAGGGTGAGGTGGTCGTTAAGGTCATTTGAGTGTTATGTTCATTCGTTGCTCCTTTGACAGGCTGAAGAATATACAGGCCGATGGAGAGATTGCTGAGACAGGCTCGATTCGTCGACAGCTCGGCGAAGATGACATGACTCCAAATGCAGAAGCATAGCATGGAAGTTCTCGAGGGACTTGCATCGTTCTTTCTGGGGCGTGTTGTATTAACAATCTACAACGAGCCTAGGATCATGACCGGATTAATGACTTTGTGCCAATAGCTGCTGCTCCCTTTTTGGACGCCACGCGATCTTTGTCTAAGGACGCATTTTTTGTGGCAACAGCAAACTTACAGCAAGCTTGCGAAGCTTATACTGTCAAGTAAGCACATCCAAATCTGACTGAGGCTATGGCAGACAGTACGGACAGCAATATCGCTCGCGGGCGCTTCCGAGACTTGGAGCTTGAGGCGTGGAAATTCACGAAGCCAGAGGGGGTCAATGGCAAATACAAGCAGGAGAAGAGTAAGATGATGAATACATAAGATGAGACTTTGACTGATCATGGCGAATAGCTGTGCAGAATGCAGCTGCCAAAAATTGGAACAAAGTCGTTGATCAACCTCAGCTGGCCGCGGCCCTCGAAACCTGGAATGCGCAAAGGGCGATACTTTCGCCGCTTATCGAAACCGATCCCGATGAGACTTTCGAAGATTCTCATGCGCGAGAGACTAATGCCAGTTTAGCACGACAGGCATATAGACCGGTTCTAACAAGTCTCATCGATGCTCGTAACGCCGAAGATGCCGGCGCTAAGGAAAGAACAGTGAAGTATCTCGATCATCTGCGGGACGAGAACGAGCGCGCTTTGGGAGAGGAAAGACCCGAATACTTCTCGGAAGTGCAGGACTGCAAAGCGCGGGTTGCCCATTGCAATGGTCTTCTACCAGAGGAATTGCCAGATACCACCGTAGAAGAAGATGTTCAACGATACGCAAACAGTTGTATAGCCGCATTGTCAGCCAGAGACGAGTTAGATACGATGCTTGAAGAAGCTGTGGACATCATTGCGGAGAGGCCCGAAGAGAACAGCGACGAAGCTATGCAATATCTTGAGGGTCTGCGGAGTTCAAATGAAGAGGCGCAGGAAAAGATTGAGGGAAATATAAGCAAGATCCTCAAGCAAATCGATGGCCGACTGTCGAGCCAGCGCGCAAAGCAACCTTCTCAGGGGGAGAAGGGCGCCGCAGCCCTGGCAGAAGAATATGTCTCTTACCTCAAAGATCTGGCGCGACTGCTCAGGCTTCATCAAATCCAGCTGAAATGTACCATTCGAATGTTTGAAGAGAAAGCAAGGGATCAACCCAGCAAACGAAAGCTCGATGGTTTCATAGACACTTGGACCAGAGTTGAGAAGGAGCTGGGTACGGTTCAGAGAGACATCGAGGCACGCGAGACACTCAGTGCGCATGATAGAGTCTACGGAAAGACCGAGGCGGAGGAACGTGAAAAGGAGACTGTGAGGACGCGAATTGGGGCTCTGAGACATGGCTGGGTAGCTGTTGGCAAGACAACCGCTGAAGGTTCACAAGGATTGGTGCAAATCTGGGTCAAGCAGAATGCCCAAGGGTTGATCGTCGATGTAAGTCCGAGTGAGATAGAGATATCGGCTGAGAATGCTAACAGGGCCAGCGTATTGTGATCAAAGACACCGTCACTGGCTTCCCCGCCGCGAACGGTTGGGACGATGACTACAAAAAGCCTCTCGAGGTCCAATGCATGCATCGTCTCAAAGACTGCGCGGCCAGTGAGAGCGTTGTACAAATCCACAATTGGCGGAAGGATCCAGATAGGAAGTACCCGGATGGCGACAAGAAGCACTTCAATGCGTTCAGAGTTTACCTGGAGTATTGTGGCCACAGTGACCTTGATAGTGTTCTACGAAAGTACGGCTACAGAGATGATTATGCTGATGGAGAACCAAGACGTAGCTGGATTCCCAAGCCTTTCGTTTGGGCTACTTTGGAGTCATTGGCAAAAGTTGCTCTCTTGATGAAGCAAGGTGACCTGAATGCAGCAGTACCTGGTTGGAGGTTCATCGTGCATGGGCAAGTTACCCAAATCTACCTAACAATCACTTTTGATGCTGACGATTTGCAGGGATATCAAGCCGGATAATGGTAAGCGTACAAGGTTGACAGCGATGAGCTAGATCTGATACAGAAGCAGTATTTCTCGGGACCAATACCACTGGAGCATATGCAAACTATCCTTTAGCCAAGGTAGGCAATACTATCACATGTCACACTTCAAGTCGCTTACTTCACACAGATGGGAGACTTTGGCCTTGCAATGGAAAACCCGCATCCAAATCCAGCGTTCTTCACGCCAGAAAAATTCGATGCCAACTATCGTCCATACGGCACGCCAGGATGGAGGGCACCGGTAACCCAACAAATTCCACGAAGCCTGATGAATTGCTTGTGCTGACAATCAACAGGAACAAACAACCTTCGAACCAGATAGAGGGGTACGAACACAACCGAACAGCGCCACAGACATCTGGGCCATCGGTCTCGTAATTTGGTCCATGATCAAGTTAAAATTAAATCCCGACAACATCGATGATTGGAAAAACATGCAGCCCGAGGAACAGCGACGACCAAGCGACTTCACCCAAGCAGAAAGATCACGATACGGCGAAAATTTGTGTGATCTGATCATGAAGTGTCTAGAATTCTACCCTAGCAACAGAGCGACAGCAGAAACAGTACTGGAACAAGTTGAGAGGTATACGAGCGGTGCAGAAGATGAAGTCGATGGAATTAGGAATCTTCCTGCGCATGACCGGAGATGGAATAAATATTTGGTCAAGTTAGAGTACGATAAGTGGGCGAGAGGAAGGGTGTTGATGGAGACTTTGGATGATGAAGAAGGAGAGCTTGATCAGGATGTGATTGTTCCGCCGAGAGGGAAACGGAAATTTGATGAGAGAGGGAAGGAGTACTTTGATGACGATTCCGAGGATTCTGAAGATTATGGTGGCCGGCGTGGGAAGAAATTGAGGGAGGCGGAAGACAGTGATGAGACCGAGTCTGATGAGGAAGAAGATTCCGATGAGGATGACTAAATTAGATTACAGACGTGTCGAGCAGACGTGATGGCTCGTCATGGCTAAATGACAGGCGTTGTCGAGCGTCTGGCTTCCAATGCAGCAATATCGTGTCTTCTGTTATTAGATGGTGGAATGCCGCGGCGGCCCAATCCAGCAGAAGGACCAAGACAGCTGCGAGTAAGACCATTTTTCCGATGCTGATAACGAGTGTATTGCTTGAGCGGCTTGAATTGTAACGAGCTCCACCCACGCACGCCATGGTGACTGAGACATCAATATGGCCATTGATGCCGCGGTATGGCGGAAGCGCTTGCAGACCAGCTGCACAATCCAGCAGACGGAGTTATATGAGATAGCTTGTAGTTCTATCCAAATCTAAATCTAAATCTAAAATATATATAACAACGCAACAAAAACGCGGGCCCCTTTAGGCTTAGTACGACTTAAAATAAGCTAAAAGTCGACTCTAACTAGTATAGCCGAGGAACTTTAAAATTTCTTAGTTTATAAGCGGTTTAGAGATAGTAGGAGTCGTAGTATCTATCGTAACGCTAAGCGGCTACGATAGTAGTATTTCCGATACTGTATCGGTCGTTTGCGCCTAATCTAGCGGTATTTAATCTAGCGCTATTTGCTTAAGGCGGTATACTCGATTATACTAGCGGTATTTAAGACTTTCTATAAGCGTTTCGGATTAGACTTGCTATACGCGTTCCGGTTTATATAGTACTAGCTATACTAGGCGTTTAAAATAAGGCTTATCCTACGCGTTCTAGATAGTACTACTCGCTATAGATATATAAGAAGGGTTATATTAGTAGGTAGATAGGGTAGTAGTAGGTATAGGTAGTATTCGATAAGGAGCTAGGAGGAGAGGGAGGAAGGTAGGCAAGTTAGCCTGTTACTAAGCGCCAAGCCCTGCCTAAGGCACTAAGACCCTAGCTTTACTTAGCCTAGTTACATACTAATTACGTATAGCCTCTTTAGCCCTAATATACGCTTCCCTTCTAAAGGCCGCGCCCTCGTAGCCTGTCTATATTCTACGACCTCTATTGCCGCTAACTTAGCAAGCCTAATAAGCTGCTTAGCCCGCGCTAAATTAAATACTTAACTACCTAATTATATAACTATATCAAACCTTACCTTCCGACATAATGTCTAACTCTAACTGCGCTATTCCTATATATAATAACCTATAAAGTAATATATATCTATAAGAATTAGGGGCCTTCGACTAATTATAATACGAGCGCGTCTTCCCTACTATAATAGGTAGACGTACGAGGTATTACAGCCCTGCCTCCGTTCTAAGTAATGTCGTACTAAGTTCTTTGCGTCTACTCTTAAAAGACCTAGCAATATCCGCTCCCGAGGGTTTATCCGCTTCCGAGGGTTATTGTTCTTATTGTTACGAGGACTATTATTTACTATCGTAGTTTTACTAGCCCTAATTAGTTAGGTTTGGCAGCCTTTAAGTGTTAACTAATTATATCTTTTTAAAAAACTCAGTTCTTCTAGTTTCTATAGGTAAAGGCTATTATAAGTGTAATAGTTAAGGTTCGCCTCGCTTAAAGGGTCGGAAAGATTAAGGAGTAACCTATTGTCCGCAAGATCGACCCCGGCTAGCTTAGCTCTATAGATTTTGCCCTTAGTTAGTCTATTAGTCGCTTAATCTTTTAACTTAGTTAAAGTATTAACTCAGCCTTAAAGTTTTAATTAAACCTTTAATATAGCTATTCTTTTAACTCGATTAGTATAGCGCACTTCCGGCCTTAGGCCGTAGTATAGGTAAGGTTGTCTTCGCAAGTATAGCGACAATAGCAGGTAATGTTAATAATAGCGGCGCTAGTCGTCTTAGCGCTAACTTTACCTTCTTCTAATTTCCTTCTTTAACTAATAACAACTCGGCAATACCGTTACTAATATAGCTATATCCTTCCTTTCTTAATAGTAATATACTCCGTAATACTATTACTAATATAGCCGCGCCGGCTGCGCCGTCCTCGCCGATTGCCTAGGCCTCGAGGCCTCGATAGAATAAGGGAATAAGAGGGGGACCTATAGGGCGCGTTAGTAAAGAGGTAGAGTCCTTAAAAGAGCAGGCAATTAGTTAACGCGTCGTAGCGCGCCTAGTATAGTCTTATTGTCCTTTGTTACTAACAATTGCTTGCCTCTAATTAGTTAGCTAATAGTATCCCGGAGGTAGCATTATTCCTAGGCGATATTATAGGCCCTTAGCCTTCTTCTTGTTCTTTACACTAGTCTAATACTTATCTAATAACCTAGCTATATCCTTAAAGGAATCTTTAGCCTCCTACGAGTCCTATTTAGGTAAATAGCCTTACTATCTTAGAAGGTACTCCTTCTTACCTTATCTAGTCCGATGCTTTAGTATACGCTCTATAGACTACAGCTCTTCACTATCGGCTAAGACTTCTTCTAACTTAGTAGGCGCTTCATCGCCTTCGCGCTAGTAGTATAGTTTAAGGAGGGATATATAGAAGGTATTATAGATAGTATAATAGGGTAGAAGCTATAACTAGTAGGCCTATATGCCCTTAGCCTCTCGAATACGGAATAGGCTAATGTATCTTAGTGCGAGCTTAGGCCTTGTTTTGCTATTAGGTAATAGGTGTTTGCGGATACGGAGGTTCTTAGTGCTAAGCATAACTATGTCGCCTTACTTAAAGGTTATTAGCGTGTAATGCTTGTTATAATAGGTCTTTTAATACTCTTAAGCCTTTGTTAGCTTCTTAGCTATCTTAGTATAGATTTCTCGCATCTTCTAGATACGTTCTATTGCTACTAGTGTCTTAGGTTAACCCGCTTCCCTTTCCTTACGCTCGGCCTCGAGCGATAGGGGATCTTGTAGTATAGTAGCGTTCTAGCCTATTATAGCTATATATAGCGACACCTTAGTTAATAAGTAGGCACTATTATTATATACGAATTTAGCTAGTTATAGGAGGTTAACCTAGTCGTTAGGGTTCTCGTTAATGTAACTACGTAGGTACTGCTATAGGGTAGCATTTTGCCTCTCGGTTTAGCTATCTGTTTATAGATAGAACGCTATAGATAGGCGATGCTTGAGTCTTAGCTATAGGCATATCTTACTCTAATAGTAAGATATAAATGTCGAGCCTCGGTCGGAAACTATCCCCTTAGGGGTTCCCTAGTAGCTATAGAAGATATTGTTCTATAGTGCTTTAGCTATATTAATAGTAGTCTAATCCTTCCGAGTAGGGATATAACAAGCCCCCTTAGTAAATCGATCTACTATAACAAGGATAGCATTAAAGATGTCCTTGCTACCCCTACGCTTAGTAGGCGGAAGGCCTATAATAAAGTCTATTATAAGCTCTATAAATAGTTTCTTTAGAATAGGAAGTGAAGACAACTCGCCGAATAGTAAGTGCTTTAGTGCTTTAACTCGCTAGCAAACTATATAGGTCTATATATATTCCTTTATATACCGCTTACTATTTAGCTAGTAGTATATACGTAATAGGAGCTCGTACGACCTCTCTGTACTATAGTAACTAGCGAGCTTACTATTATAGTGCCTCTTTAAAAGTTCTTGCCTAATCGATTGTTTAGCGGGGATATAGTATCTGCCCTTAAACTTTAAGTAACCCTTATCGTCGATCGACTAGTTATTACTCTTACTAGATCGAGTCTTTCGCCTACTTACAAGCTTATCGATACGTTTAGTAGCAAAGGCGTCCCTTAGCTAAGTACGTAACAGCTTATCTATAAACGATTAACTATCCCTATTTGTAAGGTTATTTAATAGTACCCTTACTATCGAACGAGGTATGTATTATATGCATCTAATAGCACTAGTAGCCGGATTAACTGCATTAGTGCTTTAATCGCTGTTACTATATATAGCGATATCGACTAGGGAGTTATTATAACTTCTCCTATCTGTGTCCTTAGCCCTTACCTTAATACGTACTATTAATATAGTAAGAGCATTAATATGCTTTAAGCCGTCGCGGAGTCTAGTAAGCCGCTTATCCTACGCGTGCTTATTAACAATACGGGCTATAGCAATCTTATACTATAGGGTTAGAAACAAAGAATTAATATGTTAGGTCTCGCTATCGTAATTAGGTCGCCTCGATAGGCTATCGGTAGGGTTACTTACGCCTAGCCGATATAATATATTAAAATCGAACCTAGCGAGGTAGACGGCCTATCTAGCCTATCGACCTATAACCCTAGTAACCTTAGTAATGCTACGGAGGTTGTTATAGTCTATATAGACCTGTATTGTATATTAAGCCCTATCGAGGTAGTGCCTCTAGTACTTAAAGGCCTCGATAATAGCTAAGAGTTCTTGCTCGTAGGTCTCGTAGCGACGTTCTATATCGATTATCTTCCGTAAAAAGAAGGCAATCGGGTGCTAATAATAGTCCTTATCCGATTGTTAGGACATAATAGCTAATATAGCAAACTGTAAAGCGTTAGTCTTAATGCGGATTAGTTTGCTTAGTACGAAGTAGTATAACAAGGGGACTTTAGTAAAGCGCTCCTTTAAACCGTTAAAAGCGGCTTGTGCTCTATTAGTCTATTTAAACTCTCTAGATAGATTAGCCTTAGTCTTAGTAAGCTTAGTTAATAGCATTACATACCTCGAATAGCTCTTAATAAACCGGCGGTAGAAGTTAGCAAAACCGAGGAATAATTGAAGCTCTTTAATAGACGTAGGAACAGGCTATTTAGTAATCGTTTTAATCCGATTAGGATTAGCCTTAACACCCTCGGTTAATACGAGGAAGCTAAGGAAGGACACCTCCTTAGTAGCAAAGGTATATTTAGAAGGCTTATAATATAGGCTATAGGCCCGTAGGCGGTCGAGTACCTTACGTACGGCGGCCTAATATTCCGCAATATTAGGTAAGTATATATAGACTAGGATATCGTCTAGGTAAACTATATAGAGGTAGTCTAATAGGCCTAATAGGGCCCGATTAATATAGGACTAGAATATAGCAGGGGCATTAGCTAGCCTAAATAGCATAACTAAGTACTCGAAATAGCTATAACGGGTACGGAAGGCTGTTTTCTATTTATCGCCCTTACGAATGCAGGTACGATAGTACGCATCCTTAATATCTAATATAGTATAGAAACAGGCGCTAGAAAGGCGGTCGAGGGTCTTATTAATAAGCGGAAGTAGATAGCGGTCTTT